CCCTACTCCTTTAAGCCACAAGCACCACCTATAAGTGCATTTTTACTTTTCTTTCCTTTTTCCCCCGTAAAGATGGGGAGATGGGATCTCATTCTGTTGCTCAGGCTGGAGTGTGGTAGTGCAATTACAGCTCACTGCGGTCTTGAATTCCTGGGCTCAAAGGATCCTCCTGCCTTAGCCTCAAAGTTGTTGGGATTATATGCCATGCCACTATGCTGAGCTAATTTTTTAAAAATATTGTTTTAGAGACAGGGTCTTGTTATGATGCCTAGGCTGGTCTCAAACTCTTGGCCTCAAGTGATCTTCCCACCTCAGCCTTCCAAGTTGCTGGAATTACACTTGCTTTTCAAGTTCAAGAGTCAAGTGTCCAAAATTTCAAACTGCCAGATATTTTATAATTTCCTGAAAAGGATTTAAATTCCAAGAAATTTGGCTTCTACTCACCCACAGATTACTCACAGAGTATTAAGGCTGACCAAAAGAAAACTTTTAAGGGTATTTCTAAAGCACAGTGTACTTCCCTAACCTTTTAAATACTTTAGCATTCTTATGACTGTCAGGTATAAGTCTTATGACAATAGATGAGACACATTTTATCCAACTATGGATAAGTCCCTAGCTGGACTAACTGAACCCTTAGTAATAACTTCACATGGTTATATCTCTCCTGGATGATGAGGAGCCATAATCCTAATTGCAAGCTCAACAACATTGATGTTAAATGTGTGCTGATCCCGTTTCACCTCTCGAGAAGTCTCAGTTTGGTAATCTGGAACTTTTCTAGGCAGAATTCTCTGATCCTTACAGCAGAGTCTCCAGAGTCCAGCCCAACAAATGACACATTGTCTTTGACAAGTCTCACGTTTAATGGTTGAAGACCATTCATCATTCTAAGTTCATTCATACCTTCCTGCCTTGACCACTTGTAAAGCAAAAAAAAAAAAGTATGCTTTGCCAACAGCCCTACACAAACATGTTTGATACTAACTTATTTTTTTTTAAGACAGAGTCTCAAGGTGTCGCCCTGGGTAGAGTGCCATGACATCATAGCTCACAGCAATTTCCAACTTGGGCTCAAGCAATCCTCTTGTCTCAGTTTTTCTATTTTAAGTAGAGATGGGGTCTTGCTTTTGCTCAGGCTAGTCTTGAACTTGTGAGCTCAAGCAATCCACCCGCCTTGGCCTCCCAGAGTGCTAGGATTATAGGAGTGAGCTGCCACACCCAGTCAAGAGCAAAAAATTTTTAAAACAGTCTAATTCAATCTTGATATGCCAAGTGGCTCCAAAGGGAGACTGTTGAATAAGCACTATAACTACAGAACCATCTTTCTGATGCATATAACGCATTCTAAGGAAGAAAAAAGGAGGGAGGCCTAGCTAATAGCAATCATTTGGGAAGAAACAAATCTGTTTCCAAAGCACAGAATTCTACCCAAGATTACTATACCTCACAATAAGACACATCAATGATCACAAGAATTGAACTTAAGAAATGCAAAGAATAAATAAAGAAAGAAACACAAAGAAGAAATGAAAAGGAAAGTGCTGCTGAAAAACACAGCTGGTTTTCAGGTGGTTTCCTACCCCCTACCATCGGCCGAAGTGGGTGTCTGCACCACACTTGTCTGCTGTCCTGGCACTGGAGCTCTTGCACTGCTGATCAGAAGATCAAATTTGGTGCTTCTGCAGGTATTGGAGCAAACTTTGTCATGTTGGTAAAAGTCAATTTGTCCAGAGTCCATCATTTTCCTGTGCAAAGGGAGACAAGAAGTACCGGTTGAGCCTGCACTTCATCTAGAGGGAAATAGGCCTCAGGGACAAATAGGGACATTACTAAGTATACGCTATAGATTAGTGAAACCTAATAGTATTGGAAGTCACTGAGTTGTAAAACCTCTAAATAGGGCTTTTAATTTTCTTTTCTTTTTTTTTTTTGGACAGTGTCTTACTTTGTCACCTTCGGTAAAGTGCCATGGCATCATAGCTCACAGCAACCTCAAACTCTTGCTTCAGCCTCCCAAGTAGCTGGGACTACAGGTGCCTGCCACAACACCCAACTATTTTTAGACATGAGGTCTCACTCTTGCTCAGAATGGTCTGGAACTTGTGAGCTCAGGTTATCCAC